TTTTTTTTGTTTTAGTATTTTGAAGTTGACCAATTGTTACTATAAGCAATTAATGATTATAGATGATCTGCACCGTGGATTCATTCATATGTTGATCTTTCATTATTAAATTCCCTTTTTTCGCTTTCTCTGATATATATATATGCCCCCGCCGTATATTTTTAGTCCTTTAATAACTCCACCAACTACGAGGGGTATTTGTATGTGTACGTATGTGGAAAAATTAGGCTGTGTCGCTAATAGCGCTCAAGTTTTAATGACATGAATAAAAAACCATTACTCATTTAATTTCCCTTATCATTATTCATATTTAGATGGATCAGAATATCCAATAACATGAGAACGTTTATCTTCTGCATTAAGTTGGTTTACTCAAAAATGTAGAAATACTGTAGATATAATAATATAATAATATTTACAACAGTTATAGATTTTTTATATAATGATAATAATAATTTAGAAATAGAATGCGCATTTTATTTGTCAGAATTTAATGAATCCAATTACTAATGGTCTTAATAGTCTATCGGATTGCTATGGTCTATTGTTATGCCCTTCCTTCCTGGAGTTTAAATTTTATTATTACATAATTTACGGGCACTATGTAGTATATAATTTTATTTTGATTATTAAAAATATTTTAAATATTTTTATTATTATTACGTGTAACTATTTCTCTTCATCCGATATTTTAATATTAATTAATATTAATATAGCGTGTAGAAATATATGTCGGATAATTTTGATCGTCTTTATTATTATATAGGAAAAAAAATAAATAAATATTACATCATCATAATCTTGTGACTTTGGAGTAATAATACTATATAATACTAATACGACAAATTTGAGAATTCCGAAATCAATATAACATTAGTATAATTATTATTTGAAGTATGGAACCGAGATTGAAATCTACGCGGTGAATGAAAAGGAATAAAAATGTTTTAAGGATTAAAAAACTGTTATTTTTTTGTTTATATTTACATGGAATTAAGGTTATTTTACAAATATCAACAAATATCAACAAATAAAATCGGTATTAATTTTATGTCTCTAATAATATTCATTATTAGATTGTCTGTTCTTCCCAATAAACTTATATACCCTACTACATACAATACATACATATAATGAACGAACTTGGACATTATATATGTGTGTGTATGTGTGTGTCAAAATCTAATCACTATTACTTTTTTTCAGTAATCTTTTTCAATTAAAGAAATGCTTCCGCTTTTTTTAATTTTTTGGTTTCTGAGTAATGGATGAATGTAGATTGTTTAAATAAATCCTATTTTCCGTGACATATTTGTTTCGCAATTTTCCTCTTTGTATAATATTTATTTTCCATCTTTATTTACCCAAAAATTCCGACTATGCTATAAAAACGATGTGTACGATTGTAGTTTAAAAAATAAAAAATAAGAATAATTAAATATGGCTTTAAATAACGTTGGTATTCCCATTCCAGTTCCTGCAAACATTAATCAAGTTGCTAATGCAAATAATCCAGTTCCTGCAAACATTAATCAAGTTGCTAATGCAAATAATCCAGTTCCTGCAAATGGTAATCAAGTTGCTAATGCAAATAATCCAATTCTTGCAAACGTTAATCAAGTTGTTAATGCAAATAATCCAGCTCCTGCAAACATTAATCAAGTTGCTAATGCAAGGGGAATGGCTGCCGACAATCCATTTATCAAGGAAATTCTTGATGGGGTACAGGATTTCTCCGATAATAATAATAATAATCCAAACGGTTTAAACGAACAGTCAAATATTATAGACGGGTACAAGTTTTGATTTTGGCCAAGACTAAAAAAATAAAATCAAGGTAAATTTATTTTAGTATTTTGACACATTTATTATATGCCACGAAAATCTTATTAACTAATCTCTATTTAGTCTATTCCATCATTCATGCATGAATGTATCATCGAAGATATTCAACAATGACAATAAAAAAGCCGCTGGTTGGTAAAAAAAAATTGTATATATTATAAAAAAAAATTGTATATTATATAAATATTGGGGTATTCATAAAAAAAAATTTTATATATATTAATATAAAAAAAAAATTTTTATAAATATTGGGTGAATATTTACTTCATAAAAAAAAAATTATATATATTATCATGTATTGCTTCAAAAAAAAATATTATATATTGTATATTATATTATTATTACGTACAGTATATATCTAAAATCAAAAGTTTTATTTTTTTAATAAAAAATCAAAAATATTGAGAAATAAATATAACAATTTTTTTAACCATTTATCTATTAACTCGAAATCTCTATCTAAAATTCATGGCTCAAGACTATTTAAATAATAATAATTAATAATTAGCAAACCTTCTTGTGAATTATATCATATATTAATCTTGTGGTGTATATTATTCTTGTGATGTATATAAATCTTGAAACCTTGTGGATTCATTCATATATTGATGATTCAAAAATATTTTATTATTAAATTAACCGAAATTTCTTTTTTCCGCTTTCTCTGATATATATCTTTCAATTGCACTATTATAATTAATCTTATTTCTATAAACATTCCCTTTGTAAGATTGTTAACCAAATAAATGGTGATAATTCACCATGTTTTTGGTCCTTTAATAACTCCATCAACTACAAATATAAAATATAAAAAATAGGGAGAGGTGTATGTGTGCACGCATGTCTTTGATTGCATGTATCTTTGATTATGTGTGTTTTGATTATGTACGCAGGTAGTTAAATCTGAATATATCTATGTATTTGAATGCGTAAAAATATACATGTATGTGTTTATATCTGTGTATATAATCCTATCCCGATATATATATAAATAAAAAATCATAAAATTCTATATTATTATTAGTATTAATAAAATTGATTTCATAATCCTAATGCTGACACATTTTTCTTTATCAAGTATCAACAGCCAACATATCTATCCATCTATCTATTGCAATTAATTTTGTTGTCGCATGTGTATATATGTGTATGTGAATATGTCCACGTGTGCGCCCGCGTGAATATGTAAATATGTGTAATTTTGTGTGTGTTAATACATGCATGTAATTTAAAATTTTTGTTTTAAATGTCACTTAAAGTTATATCCTTAATTAAAATAAAATTCGTAAAATATCCCAACGAGTACGAACCCCAAACATTTGTTTGTATTTACGTATCAAGAATCTATATTTAGTTCTGATTATGTTATATACAATGCATGTATAAAAACAAAAATGAAGATAATAATCTAAAAAACGCGTAATGTTATTATTAGCCTCCTTTGATGACAATGGTGAAAGTTGTATAATATTATAATTTAAAATGCTTGAAAAATGAATCATCAATAGCCAGGACCAAAGTGTTGCTTGTAAACTTGGTTTTTCCAATTTATATAACGCAAACAAGTAGATCGATTCTATCATGAACCATTTGAGTACTAAATAATTTCCTGATGATGTTGTGATTGAGGATTTATAATATTCGGTATAATAGCTGAAAAATTCGTAAAACTTTAGAGCCCTTAATATAACAATAATAAAATGTAAGTATTCTAATAATTTTTTTCGAGCCGAGAACCGAAGTCTTAAAACCATGATTGTCTATTTTTATTTTTTCTGTCCAAAAATATTTATCTTGCTTGTCATGAAGATCGCACCACAAATGATAAATTTTTGAATGGCTGAAACATTAGTGCACTCATGAATTACACATTCACAAAAATCATCTGATTTTGATTTGTAACTTGTTGTAGAATATGCCCCGTCTGTGTGGATTCAGAGAGTAATTTACGTAATACTCACTCTAGTATTAGAAAACAAATTTTGACTCCAATTACTTGTTAAAGAAGCTAGAGATGGTCTTCATTTCTATCAATTGTCAAACCAATTTAAAATTCTATTTTTTTTAGCGAGGTATGTATTATGTGTTTTAAAAAAGTCGTTTTTCTTTGAGTGGCTGTAATGGACTTTTGACAATTGGCAACCTAATAATTCTAGTGATGGCCATAGAATGTAAAGAAAATAAGAAATAATTGACCTTGTAACGATATATTCACTTGTAGTAAGTAATATGTAATAGTTATTGTGTGATATGGAGAAAAGGACCATGATAGTTTTGAGTTAATGCAATTATTATTATTAATATATATATACAGAAAATCAATAGTAAATTTCGAAAATCTATTTTTAGATTAATAATAATAATAATAATAATAATAATTCAATAATACTTTTTTTTCCATTAACAATTATCTCCTTCAAATTAATAAAATCATTCACATAATATAAAAGAAAAATTTTTTTTTATAATAAATAATTCTAATAATGTCAGGACTCACATCTACAATCGCAGCTTTTAAAAACACCATTGCTACTCAAGAAGTTATTCCTAAACCAAGGATTTCACCGAATAATAACAATAATACTTCCCTCAATGGATCAAAATCAGCATTATCAACTAACAAAAGAAAACCTAAAAAATCTGGTATGTTTATTTAAATTTTTTTGATTTTGATTCATTACTAAATGTTTTCATTTATATTTTTATCATCATTATTATTGTAACCATTAGGTTTTTCACAACCAGTTGATACAGGACCAGCAGAACACACTTTGAGTCAGTTTCATAGGGTCTTATGTTTTTTGAAGGCAATTAAAAACTAATTTTTTATTTTTTATTGTTGTAAAAAAAAAAATGAACCATTTTAAATTTATTGTAAATAAATATAGTATTAATATTTTTCATATACTATATATTCAATGTTTTCAACATGTATCTACAATAACATTACTATCATTATAATCATTGATGATATAACAGGAGAAAATGGATGAACCACAAACATTGGAGGAGATCAACGCAAACAAATTCAAAATTAGACCTAATGATGAACTTTATAATATTATGATAAGTAGTGAAAAGATTGAATTTGATAGTGCCAATCGTACATTCAAATACAAGGTGAGAATTTAATTATATGAGCAGGTTTAGAAGAATAATTATTATATTATATGTTGTATATAATAAAAATATGTGCCATACATTCTACAGGATTTATAATAATTAGTAATTCTAATATCTATTTATATTTATATAGCCGGATCATTCAATTCGTTCCAAGGAAGACTTATTAAATTTATTAAAGGAAAGAAATGACAAATCAACTGTACCGAGAGGAATGCAATATAAAGAATTAAATGATTGTATTGATTTATCAAATGCAATTGCAGTCAGTATCATCATCACCACCACTATCATTATTATTATTATTAATTAGTAATTACTGCTTATTTTTAATATTATTTATTTGTTATTTTTAGGAATTGGAAAAAGAGGGTAAAATAATGGTAATTCGACTTGTAAAAGATAGTACTCCACGTTTACTTTTTTGGAATGATTTGCAATACAATACTCCGATGGATAAAGGTATAATTATAAAGAAATAGATAGGTAGATTGAGAGATAAATATATGAAATTATGGAATAATATATATAACACACATATATATTATATATATATATATACTGTATATATAATGTAGAATTTGTGAAAATGTTTCATAGTGTAAAAGTTCCAGATGAAACTGACTTGAAAAAATCACTTGAAGATGGTTTGTATTAATTAATTAATTAATTAATGTGATTGATTAATTTCTAATCTTAATATTTAATATTTATTTATTTGTTTAAAAAAATAGCTGGTTTACAATCTATGGCAGTTTTTGAAAATAGAGGAATTATTGAGGTGCGTGAAAATAATAAATAATAGCATTTCTTAATATTTAATAATAATAATAATAAATATATATATATCGTAATACACATAATTATATATATTTATTATTTATTTACATAGGATAAGCCAAAGCAAAGGAAAAGAAAACTAAATAGTAGAAAAACTAAAATTACTAATACTCATTTGGACAAATTCCTTATGCCAACAAAATAATGGTTTTTTTAAAACATAAATAAAATCTTTTTTTTATAGATCAATCAATTTAATTAATTATATATATATTTGCTGGTGAGTGTTATTATTGTTAATTAATGTCTTTTTTTTGGGGAATATATAATGAGTGAAAAAATAAAAGTTCCTTTAATATTGGTATTGCATATGTAATGATGGACGATAGTATTATTATTATCATTATAAGTAAACCTTGTTACACTAAATCAGAAAGATCAAATCTTCCCTATAGCTAATTGTGGCTTAGAAAGTCACCATCACTACCGCTGCCATTAGTTTGCCACAATTAAAATGGCAGCAGAGAGGTTAATCCAAGTAAGCACCCATTCTAAACGGATAAGGTCTCTCTCCATAAGTATTTGTGTGAAAAACATGTCCCTTATGTCACGGGCAGCATTAACATCTCGATTCTATTGTGCCAGACAGACGGATTTGTAGACCAGAATTTTTGATGCTTATCAAACCACCCATCACACAAAGAACAGACTAAGGATGTACGGAACTCGTTAATGTTCACCACTTTGCAGTATCTAGAAAGCTCTTGGCGAAATTCTTTTACAGGACCTGGAGCATGTCCACATGATGCTGTTGAGAATTTATCATCACTAAATGCAACAACTGTATTACCACCATTACCATTTGTTACTCTCCTGCACAGACTACCAAAGGCCTTCTACTTATTAATAAAAGATTTCAACACCAATCACATTCACCATAAAAATCAAGGATTGTATTGAGGTAAAACAGAATCTAAGTGAAGTAAGAGCTATGTTCATAGACGTTAGTGACACTATAGGTTGGAATTTATAGGTTTGTAATAATAGTATTAGGTGAAAGGTATGTAAATAATATTATTCAATGATACTCTTGTTTAAAAGTGAATTAAATTAACAAAGCATAGCTCACCTCGAGTAAGATATTTATTTTTTCCCAACCACACAACTCACGTTTTCTTTCGAGCGCAAACAAACCCTGCTGTTCCAGTACTCATTATTGGAACAACTCGTAACTTTTTCATCTGAACTCATTACTACAATCAGATTAAGATCTATTCTTCTGGGATCCGGTTCAAATATTTTGCATTCATTCAAATCAATATTCGGTCCTTCTTTATTATCTTCTGCAGACCAATTGATACTGCAAGACCATCGATTTGTATGGAGTAAGCAAATATTAGATTTTGAAATGTTTTCATCCACCAAGTTTCAACTAATATGTAATTTTGTTGGAAAGAGTATTCAGGTAGAAATGTGAAAAAACGAAGGCCATGTTCCCTATTATGTTGGTAAATCTGTGCAGGATTTTGTGGAGACTCGGTACCAAATCAATCAATTCATACTTGAGTTTTTTTTATCCGTTTAAAAAAAATTTGGTAACAACTTAATGTTAACATTAACATCAATATTAATATCAATATCAGTATCAAAAATAATATCAACATTAAAACTACTTTATATACACACTTGGAAGTTTCCCTTTTTTTTCTTTTTAACGTTAAATATAAATTAAATTCGTTAAATTTGATGTAATTATTATTAATTTCTCGATTGGTATGATCAATAAATAATATATATGACATAATTAGACTTAAGCTTTTACATTTTAAAAATATTATATTATAATGATCTTTAAAAATGGACCATAAATAATTCATTTTAAATTCTAAATGCAAAATTTATTAAAAAATTTTTATTGAAAAACCATTAAATTTATACATATAATATAATAATATAAAAAGCCTGTCTAGATATGTAAAAAAAAAAAAAACAAATAATCATAACATTAGTTAAAATAATCAAAAGAAAATAAAAGAAAATAAATATTTAAATAATAATAGATATTTGATATTTATTAATAAAGTCAATATTATTAATGATAATAAAATCATTTGTTATATATATATATATTCTTATTCAATATTCAAATAATAACCAAATACTCTCTTACTCTTTCTTCTCTCTCATGTCTCGCTTCCTTTATCAACTATCGTCATGTTGTTGTTACTACCATATCAGAAACCGAAAAAATAGATTTAGATTCAGATTTTCCTGATGATGTAAGTGCTGCTCCCATATCTGAATAAAATGCATCAAGTTCATCTTCTACAGTACCTAAAATCATAAATATATATATGTTGACACAATATAATAATATATTACAAATATCAGTATAACATTATAAACTTACGAATTGATTTATCATCGTCATTATTATCATCATCCTTATTATTATTTGTGGTGTCTGATTTGGGATTATTTTCTTTCTTTTCTGCTTTATTTGATGACTTCTTAACTATTTCTTTCGCAGATTTATTACTAGTAGTGGCAGTATTAGTAGTAGTAGTAGCAACATTGATAACAGAAGAAGGAACCTGTGGGCCAATTTCAACAATATTATGTGTACCGCCGCCATCGCCGTTGCCACTACTGTACTCGACTGCATATGCTTTCTGATCCCAATATGACATCGCAATACCATCATCACCCCAAATTGTCCATTCAGTTGTTGCATAGGCTGGTATAAAGCTGCTGGGATTTGCAAATGTGATATCAACGGGTCGTGAATCGATAATAAAACCATCAGGATAATATTGTGGATTATTCACAAGCGATAAAATATATGATGATGCCTATATATTTATATTTATTAATATTGTTTTGCTTCCCCGAAAATATAAAATATTTTATAGTCTTCAAATGTACATTTATATATTTTGTCAAATATTTAAATACCTGAACATCTTGGTAATCCAAGAATGCAAATCCCCAAGAAATTCTAGAGGCACGATCTTTGATTAGCATTACTCTTCTTAATGCAGCCAACTGACTAGTGGCAGCGTAAAGAGTTTCCTCGGTGGTCAAAGGATCTAAACCACGAACCAACAAGACATGATACGGCACATGACCTAAATCGTTTTCTCCATCATTAAAGAATGAACTAGTTGGTGTCGATTGGAGAGCTGCTGACTCCATGGATTCTGAAGAATATTGCCAAATTAATTAAATATTATAAAGACAATGTAAGAACCATGAGAAAAAATGCTACTATATATATATATTTATTGGATTATCATATTATTATTATAATAATACTATTTATTATTATTATTTTAGAGCAAGTCGTTTTTTTTAATATATATAATATTTTATATATATTACGACTTGATGAACAAAAGGGCTGTTGTGGTAATTTTGTCCACAATGTGATCACACCTTTCTTTGAATGGTGACATTGATGACAATTTTCACGCTTTTTGTAATTGAGGAAACCGCACTATTATATAATATGTGAGTATTTGTATGTGAATTAAATGTGAGTAAAATAATTGTGCATAATGTAAATATAAATTATTAAATTAAATATTCACTATATTTTTTAACAAATAATATAATGAAAACATACATTCTTACACGTCCAACCTTCATCCTCGGCTGAAGCACTATTACTATACTCTACACGAACTCGAATATCATCCATCATGATAAAGGGATGATTAGCTTCAATAAATTGTCTTGCATGTTCCACACTAGTAAATTTAACAAACGCAAATCTACGAGAATCTCCTAAAATTTTTTTACACCCCAAAAAATTTATTTTAAAATATAATTTAATGATAACTATATAAATTATAAAAATAGATTTTTTAAGTAACCTGTTCTACGATCTCTAATTAAACGAATATTTTCAATACTGGCATGTAAACTTTCAAGTGTATTTTGAATCTATTGATTATAATTAATTAATTACATGAGTTATAAAAAAAATATTATATGTATATAACACAAATATATTTTAAAAATTTACTTACATCATCCTCAGAAGCTGAAAGAGGTAAACCTTGTAAAATGACATGATTATTAGGTTCACCAAGATTTCTTTCTCTCCAACGTCCCTGTTACATAGAATTTCAAGAATCATCGCAATAAATGTTAAATACTAATTATTATTATTAATTACAAAAGCAGTTATTTCAAACCTCTGGAACTCTGTCTCTTTCATGTCTAGTTTTTCTCCTTTTACTATTATTATCTTCATGAGGAGAATCATATGGATGATGTCTTTCCCAAGAGCGTATGTTAAACTCATCGAGTCTTCCTCTAAGAGGAGGAGGGGGGGGGAAGTCTAACACTCTCCAATTTTCAAATTTATTATTATTATTATTACCACTACTACCACCACCTCCATTTCTTTCCATGCTAGGAGACCTGCTTCTTGAACGACGTCGGCGATGATGTCTATTGTCCTCACGATACTCCCTATCTCCTCTGCTTGTTCTGTTATTATTATTATTATAATCAGGACGATAAGATTGGGTTCTACCGTAGCGAAAATCTGACATTTTTACTTATTAAAAAAAATTTCTTTAGTTTTTATTAAAAAATATTAAATTAAAAATAATTTTGTACCACATTAGAATAGGACATCGGATTGAACTAGTAAGACATTGAGTTGGTCACAATGGTTGATCCATCAAACATTAAAGATTTAAAATGTAAAGACTCAATAACCAAGCAAGCTGGAGGAATAATCTTTCCACAATTGTATTTCCAAACACCCAATTAATAACCTGTCAGAGTGTTTTTTATCAATTCTATTGATTTTACTATGTATAAACTATGGAAATTTAGACAAACTCTAAAATGAAGGCTTGATAACCAAGCAAGCTGTGGGAACAATATTTTCATGATTATATTTCAATTAATAGCTTGTTAAAAGGACAGGAAAGTTGATCTCATTTAACATGATACATGCAGACGTTCTTGACCCTGTCATTGAAAAAATGTTGTATGATTTGGTCATGAAGTGTATGACAATTGGATGAACCTTTTATTATTAGTTTGTTAATTATATATATAATTAAAGGTGAATAAGAATCTACTTTAATGCTGAAATTTGTTATATTACTATATTAATTATAAGAACACAAACAGAATGAGTAAATATATTATTATTCTGCATATTATTTTAGCATTAAAAAAACAGTATGGATTTTATAACTTTAATGTTACACCTTTAAAATTGATTATTGTTTCAAATTCATTAAAGGATTTTTGATTTTAAATCAATATCAAAATAGCACTGATCATTGTCATATTTATCATATTAAATTTACAGCTTCTATTAATGTGTTGAACAACATTTTTTAATTTGATGAACCATCTTGTTCTTTTCAGTTGGAACTTCATTGTATCTAATTGTAGATGCAGTTTCAACAGAATCTCTTGTTTGTTTTTATTTTTTTTTGGTTGATGTTATTTGGATTGTTTCTATTTGTGTTAAAAATAAATATTTAGTTTTGCCTCAAAATTTTTTTGATCTATCTATATAATAATATTAATAATATTGATATACTTTATCTTTGTGATTGAGATTTATCCTTGTAGGAAGTTAAAATATTATATTTTCCATTATCAAAATTTTTTGCTCTAAAATAAATAATGATAATTTCAATTTCAATTGTTAATTTAAACATCTAATTTGTAATGTACTTACACATGAATAGCATATAACAATGATTTTACATCTAGATTTATATTGTGATGTGCTTTGTTAATGTTTGTGTTGTTATGTGTAGAAGACCATAAATGAGGATCCATTTTTGTAAATGCTGGAGAAATGCAGCCAAAATCCAAGACTGTTTTTTTTTCTTTAACCCAATCTTTATTTTTTTAAAAAAATAAAAATAAAAATAAGGCAATAATAAATGGGTTTTTTCTGGAAAAACCAGGAACTTTTTGGGACAATATGAAATTAATATGTTTTGGAACTTTCTATAACTTGGTTTTTCTAGAAAAAACCTCAGATGAAGGAATTATTTACCCCTTGCCTCTTTATAACCACTATTTTCAATCATTGACATGGCATCATTAACTTCAGCTTGAATCTTAAATAATGGAATAGATCTCATCAATATTTTTATTTCATCTGAGACAGATTTGTTTTGTATATTTCTTTTTGTGTTTGATAATAAATTATTATAATAAATATTATATAATTAAATTATTAATATTAATTAAAAAAGTATATTTTTTGATATTATACATATTCTTATTGAAATGGACCATGCAAATTTTATAGATTTTTTCCAAATGTTCTTTTGGTGATAATTTATTATCTCATTTATGCAAAATCTTCCAAAACCTAATAAGAGGAAATTTTATTGAATCCATGCAGGTAGGTCCAAATCAACCATATTATTAAATGTATGCGAATTTACATCAATTATTCTTTATTCAAATCAATTGTTTTTTTAGACATAGATGAAATATCCAATCCTGAGCTAATAGTTTCATTATCTGAAATAAGATAATTATCATTAGTATTTTCAAATTTGAAAAAAAAAAATTTTTTTTGATTATTTGTTACATTGATCAATTCAATCATTCATAAACTTCAGTATGAATATTCTTATCAGGCTACATAATTATAAGAAAGAAAGGATAAATTTTTTTAATTTTAAATTTTTATAATTTATTATCCGTCCGCAAAAAATATTCGCAAATTTTGTGATAAAATAGAATATTAATATTTATTATTATTATCACAAAAAAAATATCCGCAAAATTATATAGTAATAGTATTAGTATTAGTTATCCGTCGTGAACCCCAGAATATCCGCAAATTAAATGTAAATTTATTACTAAACAATTTTCACTCTCCAAGTAAAAAACATTCATGTACGATAAGATAGAGTACATCGAGGGCTTCCAAAAGGTATGGCGTGTATGAGATTTTATGAAGGAGGAAGTAATTAAGACCAAAATCGTTTTTATAAGTTATTTCTAAGTACTTTACAATAGTATAACTTATTTTCTTTTCACCAAAACCAATAATTTCTATATATGCAAATTATCAATGGATTAGGCAACATAAGCAAGCACAACAATATATGGGGTGTGGACAATAGAAACGGACCATGTTGTGAAAAAAGCAATTTTGAGTTAGTATCACTATTATATGTAATTCCTCATGTAGAACATTTTTGGCTTAGAAACCATACCCACTTTGCTTAATAAAACTTTGAGATACCCTCCATTAAAGTTTTAAAAACAATAGTAAATTACTTGAAATGCAGATCTTTTTTTTAAATTTTCTCAAAACATCATTTTCACAACATGGTCCGTTTCTATTGTCCAGACCCCATATAGGACAAACTTTGTTAAAGTGTATGCAGATATATATAAGATTACAAGAGATATTTTATTTTATTATTTACTGTCACAGATCATACCTATTTATAAAAATTTCTAAAGTTTTTATTTTGTTATTTTCTTCATATCTGCTAAAGAAAGGGCACATTAATTTAAGAAAGAAATCATTAAATCTAATCCCTGTTAGCACTGCAAAGAGAATTTATTTTCATTATTCATGCCTTTTTATTAATATCTCTTAATATCGTCAGGATCTTAAATTATAAAATTACATCGCGATGTAAAACGGGTACCATTACACAACCTTATTTCATGGTACGCAAGCCTACCCAACATTGAACAACGCATTGTTACATTGCGGTGTACATCTTGATTTTTTATATTTAATTTTAACATTTCATATCGAATTTTTATTGTATTAAAAATTAATAAAAGTAAAATATATATATAAATTAAGGATACCAGCTGTCACCTTTGCGTCATATAAAAATGATTGCAACCACTTTTACGACCATTTTGTTTTCTTTTTTGGATTGCGACATGGAACACTAATATAAATTCAATTTACATTTTTTATTAATTATTATTATATAATATAATCATAATAATAAGCGAACAGGAGAGACCGTTCTGGTAGCACAAATTTTAACTCAAGCAATTATTGATTATGAATTGATAACGTAAAAACAAATGTTGGTTTGATTCATTTTGTCAACAATCACTCCACCAACAATTGTTTCGTTAACAAATGACTCGAATTTGAGAAGTTGGAAGCAACCATGCGACAAACCTTTGAAATAGTCTAATAAATTAAATTGTACTACTCGAAAATGTATTTAAAGGGTCGGTTTTCGACTTGGTTGAAGAATAACTCTCTTCCTAACTCTTCTCTTGACCACATCTCTCGATATAATCAAAATAACCTTAATATAATGATTGTCGACAAAATAATTGTAAACGCAATCAATATTTAAGACATACGATTAAGACAAAACATGAACGATGTATGAAAAACAAATTTATTAATAAAAACAAAATTTACAACCCAAAAAATGTTTTTTTTGCATGTTCTAATAAAATTTCCATTGCTGTTGCATTACCTATTGTTGATTCAACGTTACCCAGGCCATCATCAACTGTATTTCTGATATTTTCGATATTTTCGATAAACTCATTTTTGTTTAATCTTTTCGTCATACTTTCTTTTAGTGCGTTGACTTTTTTTTTTGATTTCGAATTGAAGATATCAAACATTTAGATTGGTACCTTGTAGACAGTGATTGTAATAACCATGTCCACACGTGAGTATATACACTACAATTATTCAAATTAATATAGTTTATGTAATCGCAAAAAATGTTTGTAGATGGTTTCCTAGGAGTAACAAAGCCTTTGGAAGGTAACGTTCGGTTATATTTTTTGTTTTTCGAATTTACCCAAAATCCCACATAATAATAAAAATAAAAATTTATGTCAATTTGTAGCTTAGATTATCTAGAATATTAATGCAATATTTTGTGATTTTTGCTAGCATAAATAATTTATAATAAAATTAAAAAAATTGGTAACTAAAATCGCATTTATAAAAATTAAGATTGACAAAATTTTTAAAAATGTAAAAATGCCAAAAAACGAAGAGGAAAAATTTTGAGCCTTCATGAAGGTACCTAATCGGTCCTCATAATCTCCAGAACTTAATCCAATTGAACATCTTTGGAGTGAACTAGGGAGGCGATTAGATAAGTGAACACAATACCCAAAAATGCTAATGAATTGGAAATTGCTTTACAAGAAGTGTGGTCAAGAACTCCATACGAAACTTACTACAAATTAATAAAAGACATAACTAGAAGGATTGAGGCATGTATTTCTAGTGATGGATGGCCAACTAGATATTACTTTATTTCATTTTTTTATTAGTTATTTTGTTTTGAATACAAAATTTACACATTTATTCATCAAAACCTAAGCTACATTTTGATAAAATTTTATGTGTAGTTATTATATGTAGTTTTGCGCAATCAATAAAAATAGGTGACCGAAAACTTTCGCCTAGGGTGTGTATGAAGGAGGCGTGGAAAAGAAAAAACTAAAACCAAAGAATATGTTTTAAATTACAAAACAAAAAAACCATCAAGGCTTTTATAGAAATTAGTCATTAATCCTCCCATAATGAAACTAATATAGAAGATCTTATTACATTGGGTACTGTATAAAGTTGTTTTCCAATCCATAATAATGGTTGTTTTTGATAGAAAAATTCATCATCATTCATGGCTTCATCTAAATATTTGGAAACAAATTTTCTAGCCTTCTTCAATGCTTTGGGTATTTCCAAATTGTCAGGATAAAATTTACTGGAATAATTCAACAATCTAATACAATAACTTGTTTCTTCCAATGTTCCCATACCAATTTCTGAAACAAATCCCCAACTGCCATCACTATGTTGAGTTTGTAGACACCAATTAACCGTTTTCAAGCAATATTCAAGCAAGTTATCTTGATTCTTTAATGTAGAATTTTCTACAATTTCAGGATATGATAATAATGATAGTAATAGGTTGTTGGTTGTGTGTGTTATGTATGATGGACTTGCATTCCATTTATCTGACCAAGTAGCCATTTCACTTCTATTGGCCATAATTAATTCTATAACAGTAGATATGACTTGTTGAATTGTTATTTTTTTGCCAGCTTCAGTTTTTGTTGGCATTGTAATGATATAGTTGACTTCATTGTTTCCAGATTTATCTTTTGAATATTTTGCAAGCAGCAACCTTAATGCATGTACATTTGAACTTATGGAAACAGTTCTTTCACCAGGATATGTCACAAAATTCCTCCCATTGTAGAACGCAGCACCTAATTTTTTTAAATTGCATTCAGTTTCAGGAAGTATTTGGTCTATTACCCAATGACATGTCACGGTGGTATCAACATCTGCTGGAATTCTGTTATCCCATGATGTCCATCTTACAGTATCCTTTTGTAAATTGACAACATGTCTTATAAATTTGGCAGTTATTTTATTTTTTTCAAGTAAACTTTGGATCAATTTATTATCTGATGTGTTGTTGTTGTTGTAAAATTTTGTAACCTTTGAAACAAATTCAACCATAGGTTGCATTATCCAAGCTGTTTCAAATATACCAACATCACTAATAGTTGGAACATATCCAAGGCTCGTGCCACCTGCTGGCACTCTAGCAATAATTTTTTGTAAGAATTTATAGGCTTTTGGATCCCAATTTGGTGAATTAATAAGCACGGAGGCAGTTGCAGCAGCTGAAGATCCATAACTGCCATTTATTGCTTGGAAACCTTCATTTTGAATTTTGGTAAAATCTATTTTGTTGCCAAAGGCTTCAATTGAATGAATCATTGCTACTGGTTGACGTTTTGCTGCTAATGCAAATAATGCTTCAATAGGTATCAGGTTCATTTTTCTGGTATGCTCTTTAATTAATCTTTGCTTATCAGGGAATTGAAATACCACACTTGGTTCAAGTTTTTCTAATTCATTGAGCATATATGGAACTGTCAACTCAAATCCAACATAGTCTATTTCATCAATATTCCATTGATTTAGACTATTATTAAGGAAATGAATGAATGAATGGATGAATGAATTAATTAATTAATTAGTAAATAAAGAATAAATATGTGAGAAGGACTAAATATAGAATGCATACCTACGTGGTATTAAGAAAATTTACAGACTTTTCAAAACTTGAGTCAAATTGAGACAAAGTCAACCCTAAATCATTTAATTTTTCTTCTAGATAATTGCCAGAATGGGAACGGAAAAGACCAAGGGCGAGTAGACCAGCAAGACAAGGTAAAACACTTTTTACGCCTTTACCAGCCCAACTACCATTATCGTCTTGATGATAAAAAAACCATTTTAAGCATTGTGGGAAAGCTAATTCGAAGTCTTTTGGTAAATTGGTAGATTTATACTTTTCAGAAGGAACCATTGCCATCCAAGCAGTATCATACGGTGACATTGATAACTTCCCGTATCCAATCCATTCAGTATCGTTAATATCATCCATTGTTCTCTTTGCTGGCTCTTCAGGTGTCTCATAAAAATTTGGCCAAACCGAATTAGCATGATTATTTAAAATTCCTTCAGCATAATCTATTAGTTTTAGTTTTTTTGCTTCTTGTTCTTCTCTTAATAAATCATTGTCATTTTTATTGCTGTCGATAATTTTAATTTTTTTTGAACAATTTTTTGTTTTTGAATGATTTTTTAAATTTATGTTGACGAAAAATGTTTTAATAGTTTTATTTGTCTTTGAAAAAGGTGAAGAGGGCAAAGGCGATGAAGGCGATGTTGGCTTTTCAATATTTCTTTTGACTTTATTGTAAATAATTTTATGCATTGAAAAAAGTGGTTTTTTAATTAATTGTCTAAAATGTTTATTTATTTTTTTTTAGTTAACTAAATTTTTTTTTAGATATATATAATAATAAATAAATAATTCGCAAGAAAAAAAAAAATTTTTTTAGGGAAAATAAATTTCTTGAAACGTTTGAATTAGCATTTTATTGTTGTTTGTCTTTTTAATTTTCGATTCAAAAGATAATTAATTACATAACATCGGATTATTTAAAGAGAAATAAAATAGGTTTGGAGACACAAATATTACTATGTCATATTTTCTCATGGATTACATCAAAAAAAAAAATTATTTTGCCCCAAACTTTATTATCATCATCATCCGGGAAATTAAATTTTAAAATTAAAATTAAAATTAATTAATAGGTTATGGATAAAGAAGAATGACATCACAACAAAGAAGATAACTGGTTGACGAATTAATTAATTAAGGACGTGCGTGTTATAAATAAAAAATGGTTTTTAATAAAAGATGACGATACGATCTGCACTCATTATTATTGTGCATATTTGTATGCGATCGGGAAATATGCTAAATTTGGTATTTTCTAATACTAATACTAATAAACGTTATGGAATTTCTTTAGATTGGCTACTTATGCAGATCCTTTCGTTGAATAAATAGAGAAAAACAAGAAAATCATGGCGAGAGAGCTTTATTGACTGGTGTCATATAACTTCCAAATTATAGGACTAAGCAATATAAGATGCCATTTTTGTAATAACATATAGTATATTATCCTGATAGATAATTTTAATATATATATGTACACAAATTAATTAATATATAGTTATTTAATAAAAATGAAAAGATAATCAATTAATATTGTTTATGCTCTCTGATTATGGCTAAATTATTCACTTTATCATTGAATATATACATACATAAAATTGGTACAATATTTCTAATAATTCACAAAACAATAAATATATAAATTTATTATATGGTAAAATTTTATAATCACACCACCAAATTTGAGATATAATTTCTTTATCATATGTATCTGCTTTAAGAAGATTTTTAAGGCAGAACCGAAAATAATCTGACTCTCAAAGTCAAATTTTTCCTTTATATTCATATGCGCAAAATTTTGTTTGACGCGTCCAATTGCAAGTATAAATGTCCAAATATTACATTATTACAAATATTTACAGGTTTTTGATCACTTAGGTTATGTCTTTTATAGCGAAATCAATTATTTTAAAAGTAAATATAATAAATAAATAGATATTAAAATTTTTTCTTTACTATACATAAATAATGATTAGAATAAACAAGCAACAATGATGATCACTCCTATACAAACTATTGAATAATTGATAAAACGTTCATTAGTATATTTTGCAAGTTTCATAGATCTTGACCTTAACACTTGCTTCGAACTCCTACACAAACTGGATCTTAATATTTATTATCATCCTCAAAAAAGATGATTCGCTGTCGTCGTTTGCTATTAATATTATTGTTTAATGTTGCTATAACCACTACTGATTGATGGATATTCGTAATAATCATTAATAAAACTTTAATTTTTAGTTTTTGCTGAATCCCATCTACATAAAATTCTTCATGACTATTAAATTTCTATAAAATAGTTTTTCGTGAACCTCTCTAAAACTTATTAATCAATACCCCCATAAAGTAATAACCATATGAAAACTTAAAATGTTCTACACCTTCTCATTTACTATCAAGTCTTTTAAAAGCGATATTGAGAAATAATCCGAGTTTTGATAATACCGTTTTTAAATAGCCATGAGTTCATGTAGAGAAGACCTTTCGATATGAAACAGTATTCATTAGAAATCGGAGTACTTTCATTTTTTACTCTAACAACGAAGTTTGAGTTTATTATAAAAATAACGAGATATTTTAAAAAAACATGTGACACGAATTCGAATTTATTTTCATGATGATGCGTTGCAACAGATTTAATTATAACTCATTGTATATTTGTTAGCTTAGGTTCTCATTGGTTGTGCATGTAAAACTTTAATTATTAAAAAATAAATACTTATTATCTTCATTTTCACTAATAAATTTAAATAGATATTGTATTTTTTACATATGAGAAACAAAAATTAATGAATAAAACAATCATTAATAAATAAATACCTTTTAATTCTTTCATGAATATATCAACTAAAACTTTATGATGTTGAATAATAAATAAATATGGCCGCGTAACAATCCTTTCTGATCGTCACTGCCAGATCTAAAAAAGTAATCAATAATTAATAGTATAATTGTTATTACAACTAGAATTTTTGATTTGAATTTTCTAAAAATTAATAATTAATAATAAATAAAATATGGTCGCACAATTCTTTCTGATCATGCACCCACCTAATTCGGACATTTTCCGAAAGGCAAATCCTTTATCCATGGAATAACGATGGATAAAGCTTCTGCCTTTCGGGGTGTGTGGCATTGGGGTGAGCGGTCAACTAATTAAATCAAAACTATATATGGACCCCTATGAAAATTTACTATTGAATTTTTTT